CCAGTCCAGAACCTCGCCTCTCGTCTGCTAAGTACCACCTCCGTCCCACAACCTGCTCCATCAGGACCCACACCTTGGGCTCCTGGCAGGTGGCAGGTAATGGGAAGGGGCTTTGGTAAAGCAGAGAATAGGCCTCTCTTCTGTGGGACAGTTACCATGAAAGCATGAAATGGGTTTCAGGCCACCCCTGTGGTGCACCTCTGGGATGTTCCTGACTTTGGGAGACTCATGAAGGCCTCTGCACAGAGTTGGGAGACAGTCCCCATCTCGCCCTCCTTTTTTCCTTTCCCTCTTTCACCACATAAATCTGGCTTGATCAGCCAAGGAGAATCCACACGTCTGCCCCCTGGCCAGGTCTGTGATGAGCCTCTCCGGGGACTCCTATTCTGAGGAAGCCGCACCACTCCGACATTTCCCCACGAAGGGCACACCCTTTGCAAAGCAGAAGGTGACATTTTTCTAGGGCACACGTGGAGGCCTTCTGATTTTTATTTTCTAAAAAGCCTCCCCATCAGTGCCATGGGGAACCCCAGAGCTGACCAGCGAAAGGCAAACCTGTTTACTAGGAAGCATGGCCCCTGTTCAGGCTGGTGGGCCCCCTCTGCGGTGGGCACAGGGGGCTGAGGGGCGGGCGGCAATGGTGGGTGGGCCTTGAGGAGAAGGGCCAACGCCACGTAGAGGGCAATGTGCCAGTCATGCACGTCACTGTCAGTAATGTGTGTCCCAGGAGACCAAGCTAAGCGGAAGGGCCGGGGGAAGCTCACAGAGCCCCCTTGGGTAGAGCTGGGCAAATGGGCAATGGTGTGATCAGCATTGTGCCCCAAACTCTCCCAAACTACATTATTCCTAGAAGGAATTGTTAACTCCCCAAATCAAAGGCCCTCCCCCACCCTACCCATCCCATCTTATTTTCTTAAATATATATAATATGATCCCATCCACACAGTTTCTTCTGCTAGACCTACTTAAGCATAAATAGTCAACACCATACTTGATTAGCATATTGAGTTGCCCAGTACTTTCAGGCACCTGCTAAAATAGTTCTTTGACACGGGACTCTAATAACTGAACCAGAAGCCTCAGGAAAATTAACTTCAAAATATGAACTTTTTATGATCAACAGTTTGCATAGAGGTCTAGAACCAAAATAAACCCACACTTGCAGATGTTCAAACATGTACTGGCAACTCTTTCCCCCATGGAAAGGGACACAGACACGACATTTGCAACCTTTAGCCAGATGTTTATTAGAGGGTTAGGCCTAAGTTGCAAAGCAGGACACTAATTGTGATACTGGCTGCAGTAATAATGTCCCGTTACTGCAGGCATAGGTCTGAAAGCTCCAGCAGAGTCGGGAAACCAGAGAGCCAAGTGTCAAGATCTCTCTGCATGATGAAATACGGCCACTGAGTTACACCTGGCCAAGCCCTGCCAGTCCCAAGAAGCTCCAGGACTGAGGAGCCCCTGTGAACCCGAGGAAGGGACCTGTAGACAAGCCCAAGTACCCAGTGATGAGGCAGAGGCAGCCTTTTTCCTTCTCAGTTTCTCCCTTTCTCCGGGCAATACAAAGGAAATGGAAGAGGAACTGCCCTCTGAAGTCTTGGTGATTTCTTGTTAAGTACATATATAAATATAAACGTGTTGAAAGCACATTCTTAATAAAATTATTAATAACTCAGGGTCAGGATGGGAGGAGTCATCTTGTGGGGATCACAGGGTTTTGATTTGCAGTGTGTTCCCTATTTTCGTGACTAGATGCTGGCATGCCCAAGCAGCCCGTCCTGGCCAGCCCTGGTTCCACAGCGCAGGCTCCACAGTGCCCCTGGGCGCCCCGGGGACCTGCTGCACAAGGTCCCCGAGCTGGACATGCTTCTCGATGTTGCGCACATGACTCCCTTTAAGGCTAAGGATCTCTCTAAATTAAAATTAAAAAGACAAAACACAGCTGTGTGTGAATACACACACACACATGCACACCAGTCACCAGAACTTACCGGTAATAAGTTGAAACTTACTACCTATAACAAGTAACATGAAACACCCCAGAAGTTGGAAGTGGGGTTCCCTGAGACCGAATCTAGAGAGAACAAGCACCCAGTAAATAAAAAGGCCACCAGTGGGCACCCATCCTCAGGGAAAAGTACAAACGCTGCTGAGGACATGTGAGGGTACCCAAGTGAACAGAAGTGCTCTGAAACGTGTGCTTTAGGGCAAAGAATCACCAGGGGCAGAGTTTATAAACAGGGGGGTCCTGTGAGGGCCCGGGAAAGGCGATGTTCAGGGAGCAGCAGGCCTGCTCAGCCAGGGAGAGACTAGAGCTCGGCGTGGGCCATGGCAGTGGCCCCCAGTTGCAGGTGTGCCACCAGCATCTGCCACCCCTAGGCCCTCAGCTCCAGGACAAGGCCTAATGACAACTCTGGCCTCATCAAAATGTTGATAATGAGAAAGATGTAGTTTGGCCAGCGAATACAATGAGCCTTCATAAAGTTAGGGTTTTATCTTTCACAATAAATTAAGAAATTGGACATTTGAATTCTACATTATTGTCTCAACTCTGGTTCATTGGGAGTCTGTTCTGGGTGCTGAGACCAACCTGAGCAGCTGATCTGCAGAGCTGGGCTGCACCCAGGGATGAATCCCCAGAGGTGTTGGTGAAGATGCTGAAGTCCAGCCTGGACCATGCACAGCCCACATTGCCAGGGGTAGAGAGAGCTGCCCCACACCGTGTATCTGCGCCAAGAGCCCTGTGCAGCCCTCCCTGCCCCTCTCAAGTCCCTTTGCCCCTCCAGCCCCTCTTCATCTCTGCTGCAACCATCCTGTTCGGGGTGCTTTCTTCTGTCACCTGGATGGTCATTAACAGCTGCCTCCCGAGCCCCCAGCACCCCGGGGCCCAACCACACACTAGACAGCACCCCGCCAGTCCAGCCTGGCCAGCGAGACCACCTGCACATGTGGAGACGGCACCAAGCTGCTTAGGGGCTGGGAGACTGTGAAGGTTGGCAGGGCACCTGCCCTCGGAGCTCGATTTGCTCCAAGGCTGGTGTAAAAAGTAAGCCAGTTACCTCACGGCAGGTACTAAGCAAACAATGTGAGGGTGCAGTGAGAACGCCAGACTGACCCGGCCTTCGTGCACAGCTGCTGCTCTGTACCGCTTCCCACTGCTGCCGCTCGAGGGCTCCCTCCTGCCACCGGGCCGAGGCAGGTGCTGGCTCTCCACTTGGACCTGCCTTCCTCCCGCTGTACCTGCCGAAACCAGCACTTACGCTTCAGGGTCCAAATTCAGCATCACCTTTTCCAAGCTGGCTTCCCTCTCCCAAACTGGCAAGCTGGCTCTCCATCCCCTCCCCCTCATGGTCCCTGGAGCGCCTCCACAGGGTCCCATCCTAATTGCCCATTTTCCCACCTGCCAGCCCCTCTGACGGGGCCCAAATCAAACTCCCCAGAGAGACTGCGAGGAAGCTGCCAAGAGAGGTTCCTGGCCTGGAGAGTGCAGCACAGCCCCCCTCGGGGAATCAGAGCCTCTAAGAGCAACGTCCAGGGTGGCTCAGCCCTGCCTCCCACCCATAAGATCCAGATTCAGGCAAAGCTGGGCTAACATTTTTAGTTTTCCATGTATTTCTTGGCCTCTCTGAGACTCAAGTGAATGAAATAAATAATGCCCTTCCTGTGGGTTTATAAAGCTTCAGGAAGATAGTTTGCGACCTGCAGGGCAGCAGACAAGTATCAGGTAATCATTGCCGGTGCCAGATCTGGTCCTGCTGCAAGGAAGGGTGAGCAGAAAAGGGCATCGGGTCAGGCCGCAAGGGGTGGGTGACCCTACTGGATCGGGGCCAGCCCAGAAAACCTGTTTTCCCAATGCTGCTGGCTCACCCCCTGCCCACAGCGTGGAGGGCTTCCTGAGGCTCTGGCCTCGAACTTGGCCCCTGCTCCTGAGTTTTCCACAGAGACAGGGTTCCGGCACATCTTCACAGGTAGGAACTGCGTGACATAACAGGGCTTTTAGGTCTGGCACATGGGGTACCGTTAGTGCATTTCCTGTGCTACCTCCAGGCAAGCCTGTGGAGTCAACAAGCACCGTAATGCTCAAAGACGATCACTGATCACACCCCCCAGGGGCTGCTGCCAGCACAGAGGGTCCTCTGAACCCCAACACAGCTCCCAGCCCGAGCCCCTTGCTGGGAGCTTCCAGGCATTAGAAACAGAAACTCAGAACGTGTGCCAAGCCTGCCATCTGCAGTCAGAGGGCTCATGTATATTAGCTGCTGCGTCCACCTGCCTCTAGTTCACACCAAACCTGTTTTTGGAGTTGAAGGTTAAATTTCTTTCTTCCCCAACTGGACTTCGACAAGGAAAAATTAAACTGCTCTTGAAGCCAGCATGTGTCCCTCAAATTAAAAGCTGGATATGGAATAAGAACAACTTCATTGAACAATGTACACAAAGCAGAACCCCCAAGGTAAAGGCGGTAATTCCAGGGGAGCCCCCCATTCAGTTCCCACACTGTGCAGGGGGAATATAACTCGAATCTCCTAATTTCTTTCTGTTCACATTGAGGAGCAGTTTATCTTGCGTGGTGAACTTAAGTCACTTTTCCTAGAATCCCCTGAACTACTTTCTAGCAGACGCAATAGCCAGGATCACTGCTGGAGTGGCAGGCTCCGAGCTCACTTCCTGGCCTTCAAAGGCAGACATGCATGGTGCTCACACCTCGGGGAAGGAAGAATGCATTGTGCATGAAGTTAAATATGGCTAGGCTGCCCTTTGTTAACAAAATGTATAGCTTTTGGTAAATTCCACCATGAAGAACACGAACCATGGATAAAACATACAAGAGGCACTTCCCAAGCTGGGGAATTTAAAACACAGGAGCAGTTTATGCAGCACAAGCCTTGTGCGAAGTGATAGTGACCACTGAACAGCAACCAAAACTGCAGGAGGGCTCTTGAGGTTGCCTTATAGGCATCACAGTTAAGGTTAAAGAAATTGCCACAGCAACAGAATTAGGGTAAAAATATTTTATCCTTAGTTCTCAACACATAACAACATGATTACACATGTATTCAGTTTAAAATAAAAAACAGGTTTACAAATCACTTTTGGATACTAAAAGTAAACTCTAAACTGCTTTTCTTTTTGGCAGCACCAGCCTAAACTCTGTGGCTTTGTAATATTTCAGAAACTTCAGGTACATTACAGTCTTCTTAGAAAGGCCCAGTACTTCAGAATTCCTGGAGTAGCTGTGGAAAAAGAACATTACTGGCAACAAATATTAAAACAGTATTTCAAGACCCATAGGAATATTATTTAGACATTCATAAATGTATACACATATATTTCAGCTTATATCCTAAATACTTTCTCTGTCAACAAATTTATACTTTTTTTTTTTGGTTTGGGGGGAAAAAAGTACTTTATAGGCAAGTTGTTTTGGCTGTTATGTGGATAATTTTGTGGCCACTTTTCCCTTCTCATCCTGTATCTGGGGCCTGCACACACGTGCAGTTGGGCAGCTTCATTCTCTGGGGTCCACAGAGCTCGCCTGTGACAGACCCTTACATGCATGGGAAAACTGTTCTTCTTATTCAGGGACTCTTTGTGGTAGAATTTGGAGAAACTGGGTTGCAACATCATTTTTAGGGAGAGGCTGAGAATATTTTTTCATTCTTGTGGCTCTGTGTGCTTAAACAATCTGAGTTGGTATAAAGGACTGGCCCACAGAATTGCTTATGCCATCCCAGATGCCTGCTGCCCCAAGATGCACCCTGCAGATGCCATCCTGGCCTGCATGTGGTATTCTGCCCACGAGGAAGCATTACTGGTGCCCAAATCAGAAACTTTAAATAGCTCGATGATATTGATGCTTTTCCCCTTCAGCTTCAAAAGCAATCATGACCGAATACTTTCGACTATGAGGCAGAGTTCATTGGAATAACAAAAAACACCATTTCAAATATCATTTAATGAGGTAGCTGAGATCTAATATCAAATCTACAGCATACACAAAGGTGCTTAATAAGTGCTCAGGCAGTTTTAAATGTATTCTTAAACACAAACTGCTGTAGATCCTAACAAATGCTCTTCCTTCCTGACTCCTGAAGGTGCATGCAACCTTGCGAGAGGCCCTGCAGAGAGAGCCCGCGTGTGCAGAGGCTGGGGCAGGAAAGTGGGGTGAGGAGGAGGGTGCTCTGCATGCAGCTCTGCCTGAGGTGGAGGTGTTCTCGTGGCGCTGTGATGCAGCCAGGGCCACAGAGGGCAGACACCAGGGGAACTCGGGGACACAGGCTGTGAAGGCGGCCTTGACTTGCAGCAGCAGGAGCCGCAGCCTGGTACTGTCATCAAGAGTGCGGCAATACTCAGAGCAGCCCACCCCTTGCGGGGCCCCTGGAGGAGCCCTCTGCAGGGTCATGTCCTCCTGGGTTCCCTGATGCCCTCGTCTCTGGAGAGGCCACTGCTTTCAGCTGCTCAGCCTGAGTGATCCTCACTGTCTGCTCAAAGGCACCGGCTGCTTCTGGCCAAGCAGCTTCTCAGATGTCAACCTCAAAAGGCTGCCATATAGTCTTGGACAAAGGAAAAGGTGGCAGCACCAAGGTGGCAGCCTGGATTCTGTGACTACTCCAGCAGAATGAACATTCAGAGTTTGCACTGCACAGCTACATCCATGCACGTGTGCACACACGCACACTAGTCACACATAGGAGTGTATTCACACAGAAGCATGGCCTAGAGGGGCACCCCAGAGCAGCACCCCCAAGCATCCCAGGCACAGGGCGATAAGCTCAGGCTCAGGATGGGCAGGAGGGAAGGACTGAGGGGCCTGGGGCCGCATGGCTGGGGTTGCAGGAAGGAGCCTGGGTCCACCTTCACCACCTCCCTGGGTTGTCCTCCATGCTGGGCTGCCAGCACACCAGGGTGCCCGCAGGGCCTCACTGAAGACAAGTGGGAAAGGCAGGCCCAAGCGCGCCCAAGTTAGGTCTCTGTTGTACAGTTGCTGTAGGCTGGAGGGGGCGGGGCCTGAAGGCTGCTCCACCGCCTTGCGCCAGGCCAGGACTCCACATGCCCTTGTTCTTTATATTTACCCAGAATGTTTTTGGCTTCTTCTGCATCCCGCAAAGGGCTCTCTCCATATTCTTCCTTCAGCCACTGCCGGTACTGGAGAAGTTGGACACAAAGCCAAAATGTCACACATAAACCTGTGTCCATGTAGACTTTTACCTACTACTCAGTGGCACAGATTCGCCACATGTAAACAGGGAAATTAGTGGGCATTGGGCAATCCCAGCTCTGTGGTTGCCCAGCCAGTGTCAAGCAAGAGAAGTAACTGCTTCTTCAAGTTCGGGCCCCAGGACATGAAAGCAAGCCAAACCAAGGAAGCGGCACTTGACCCAAAGGGAGAGAAACAGAAGCTAATAGGGCCCCGAGAAGACGGTAAAGGGTGAGATACTGTGGTGGGACAAAGGGACCAGGGACCATGTCATAGGGGATGAGGAGGGGCACCTCAAACAGACATCCTCTGGGGCTCTCCAGCTCCCACGTCTGTGATTCTAGGTGTGTACAGAAAGACTGGGCATCTTCCCAGGGGCTGCTGCCTACATCACCAAAGTCCCCTGAGCATGGTTACCTGATGGACTTCATGCTTCTCAAACTCCTGGAGCTGTCTCTGGAAGCCCAGGTTGGGGTTGGCACAGGACCTCCCTGCACGCACAGTGTGCAGGGCATCTTCCCAGCCAAAGTCGGTGACGGTCATGATGTATGCGATCACCAGAGTCACGCTCCTGGAGACACCAGCCAGGCTGCAGGGCCAAAAGAATGCCAAGCAGCGGATGGGGGTTAAGATCCATCTCCCAGCCCAGGTGGGGCAGGACATTCTATGAACCTCATTTAGAAAGTCTTCCTGCCTTGGAGTATGAGTGGAGAGCAAGCCAGTATGCTACCAGGAAATTATTCAGAAACGAACAAGCTTCTTCCTCATTTATTATGCTAGGCTCTCAGGCATTTTTTAGCTGTGTTAGCCTGCTTTTTCATAAGTTTCCTACTGGCTATGGCTCTGGACTCTTCAGTTTTTTGATTCTCAATCACTCCTGAGCCCCTCCTCAGATATTCCCCAGTTCTCAGGACAGATAAAATATCTAAAGCACATCAAGGGAACTTGAGGGATCTGGGATTTACGCAATAAATCCATCTAACTTGCAGCAGTTTAGAAGGCTTCACATTTTTTAAAAGTCTGGTTTTCTTAGATATATGAGGGAAAACCTACAATTTAAAAACCCATTAAATACAGAAGGCTTTACCAAATACTTCATGTTTTTCTTGACATAATTAAGGACAGCAACAGAGCAGGGACTCTCCAGGTGCTCTGGGAGTCGGGGGGGCAAGGTGAATGCTCTGTGGGCAATGACGGTTAATTATGTCTAGGAAGTTGAGTAAGGGGACCAATTTTAAGTGTACATGCAAATTAAAGTGGTCACTGTGTGGCTGTGTATCAGACTTAGAGTGTTTTAGTGATGGTCTAAGATGGGGAAGTTTAGAGAATTCTCAGTTTTAGAAAAGCCTATCTTCAGATTTACACTACTATATGAAATACGAATTCCTAGAATATCAGGCCTATACATATTCAAATAATAATAATAACAATAATAATACTAGTAAAATCACTCTCAGGTGGCACTTCCCTAGGGCTTTATATCAGAAATACTGAGAGGGCTTTTTAAAAACTCATCTTTTTGGGCTACAACCCTAGAGATTCTAAGTCACCAGAAGTCCTAGAAGCCCAGGCAGAGAATTTCAGAACCGCCCTTTAAATGGCTCCAGTTGCACTCCCAAAGTGCTTTAAAGCAAATGTACATGAACGTTACAAAACCTATAATTTGTATTTATTACATATATATGACTCTTTTGAAAAGCAAAATGAAAAATCACACTACTTCAAGAACTGTATAAAACTACAGAACACCATTTTTAGAGTAAGCAAACCAGTGTCCCTGCTCCCCTGTTAAAGGTTACTGGCCCTTAGAACAAATTTCGGTTTTCATGAATGGCTCTTCTGGACACCACGCAATGGACTCCCTCCATCACAGTAGGACTGCTTTCCATCTTAGCACCAGCACTCCCCAGGACACAGCACTTTGTGTGCCCAAAGGGTTTGCACTGCAATAGCAACTCTGGAAGAACTCAAAAGATTGCTATACTTTTAGCTAAATAATACTAACCCTCATTCAAAACAGAAAGAGGATGTGTTCAGCCTGCCCATTAGCAGACAGCAGAGCTCTGGCTACAGAATATTGGCTGCAGGTTCCCTAGATGTAGTAGTTATGCTATAAGTATGAATAATGGAGGCAATCAACATGGAGCCCACCCTCACTAGGAGCCCACTGTGTGCAGGTGCAGAGTTATAAGCTTTGTGTGCGCTGTCCTGGATTCTGTGACTACTCCAGCAGAATGAACATTCAGAGTTTGCACTGCACAGCTACATCCATGCACGTGTGCACACACGCACACTAGTCACACATAGGAGTGTATTCACACAGAAGCATGGCCTAGAGGGGCACCCCAGAGCAGCACCCCCAAGCATCCCAGGCACAGGGCGATAAGCTCAGGCTCAGGATGGGCAGGAGGGAAGGACTGAGGGGCCTGGGGCCGCGTGGCTGGGGTTGCAGGAAGGAGCCTGGGTCCACCTTCACCACCTCCCTGGGTTGTCCTCCATGCTGGGCTGCCAGCACACCAGGGTGCCCGCAGGGCCTCACTGAAGACAAGTGGGAAAGGCAGGCCCAAGCGCGCCCAAGTTAGGTCTCTGTTGTACAGTTGCTGTAGGCTGGAGGGGGCGGGGCCTGAAGGCTGCTCCACCGCCTTGCGCCAGGCCAGGACTCCACATGCCCTTGTTCTTTATATTTACCCAGAATGTTTTTGGCTTCTTCTGCATCCCGCAAAGGGCTCTCTCCATATTCTTCCTTCAGCCACTGCCGGTACTGGAGAAGTTGGACACAAAGCCAAAATGTCACACATAAACCTGTGTCCATGTAGACTTTTACCTACTACTCAGTGGCACAGATTCGCCACATGTAAACAGGGAAATTAGTGGGCATTGGGCAATCCCAGCTCTGTGGTTGGCCAGCCAGTGTCAAGCAAGAGAAGTAACTGCTTCTTCAAGTTTGGGCCCCAGGACATGAAAGCAAGCCAAACCAAGGAAGCGGCACTTGACCCAAAGGGAGAGAAACAGAAGCTAATAGGGCCCCGAGAAGACGGTAAAGGGTGAGATACTGTGGTGGGACAAAGGGACCAGGGACCATGTCATAGGGGATGAGGAGGGGCACCTCAAACAGACATCCTCTGGGGCTCTCCAGCTCCCACGTCTGTGATTCTAGGTGTGTACAGAAAGACTGGGCATCTTCCCAGGGGCTGCTGCCTACATCACCAAAGTTCCCTGAGCATGGTTACCTGATGGACTTCATGCTTCTCAAACTCCTGGAGCTGTCTCTGGAAGCCCAGGTTGGGGTTGGCACAGGACCTCCCTGCACGCACAGTGTGCAGGGCATCTTCCCAGCCAAAGTCGGTGACGGTCATGATGTATGCGATCACCAGAGTCACGCTCCTGGAGACACCAGCCAGGCTGCAGGGCCAAAAGAATGCCAAGCAGCGGATGGGGGTTAAGATCCATCTCCCAGCCCAGGTGGGGCAGGACATTCTATGAACCTCATTTAGAAAGTCTTCCTGCCTTGGAGTATGAGTGGACAGCAAGCCAGTATGCTACCAGGAAATTATTCAGAAACGAACAAGCCTCTTCCTCATTTATTATGCTAGGCTCTCAGGCATTTTTTAGCTGTGTTAGCCTGCTTTTTCATAAGTTTCCTACTGGCTATGGCTCTGGACTCTTCAGTTTTTTGATTCCCAATCACTCCTGAGCCCCTCCTCAGATATTCCCCAGTTCTCAGGACAGATAAAATATCTAAAGCACATCAAGGGAACTTGAGGGATCTGGGATTTACGCAATAAATCCATCTAACTTGCAGCAGTTTAGAAGGCTTCACATTTTTTAAAAGTCTGGTTTTCTTAGATATATGAGGGAAAACCTACAATTTAAAAACCCATTAAATACAGAAGGCTTTACCAAATACTTCATGTTTTTCTTGACATAATTAAGGACAGCAACAGAGCAGGGACTCTCCAGGTGCTCTGGGAGTCGGGGGGGCAAGGTGAATGCTCTGTGGGCAATGACGGTTAATTATGTCTAGGAAGTTGAGTAAGGGGACCAATTTTAAGTGTACATGCAAATTAAAGTGGTCACTGTGTGGCTGTGTATCAGACTTAGAGTGTTCTAGTGATGGTCTAAGATGGGGAAGTTTAGAGAATTCTCAGTTTTAGAAAAGCCTATCTTCAGATTTACACTACTATATGAAATACGAATTCCTAGAATATCAGGCCTATACATATTCAAATAATAATAATAACAATAATAATACTAGTAAAATCACTCTCAGGTGGCACTTCCCTAGGGCTTTATATCAGAAATACTGAGAGGGCTTTTTAAAAACTCATCTTTTTGGGCTACAACCCTAGAGATTCTAAGTCACCAGAAGTCCTAGAAGCCCAGGCAGAGAATTTCAGAACCGCCCTTTAAATGGCTCCAGTTGCACTCCCAAAGTGCTTTAAAGCAAATGTACATGAACGTTACAAAACCTATAATTTGTATTTATTACATATATATGACTCTTTTGAAAAGCAAAATGAAAAATCACACTACTTCAAGAACTGTATAAAACTACAGAACACCATTTTTAGAGCAAGCAAACCAGTGTCCCTGCTCCCCTGTTAAAGGTTACTGGCCCTTAGAACAAATTTCGGTTTTCATGAATGGCTCTTCTGGACACCACGCAATGGACTCCCTCCATCACAGTAGGACTGCTTTCCATCTTAGCACCAGCACTCCCCAGGACACAGCACTTTGTGTGCCCAAAGGGTTTGCACTGCAATAGCAACTCTGGAAGAACTCAAAAGATTGCTATACTTTTAGCTAAATAATACTAACCCTCATTCAAAACAGAAAGAGGATGTGTTCAGCCTGCCCATTAGCAGACAGCAGAGCTCTGGCTACAGAATATTGGCTGCAGGTTCCCTAGATGTAGTAGTTATGCTATAAGTATGAATAATGGAGGCAATCAACATGGAGCCCACCCTCACTAGGAGCCCACTGTGTGCAGGTGCAGAGTTATAAGCTTTGTGTGCGCTGCCCTTGGGACACGTGTGTTGGGCAGCTTTCTCTGCACAAGTGTACATATATACAGACACAGAAAGCACAGCTGAATGCTGGCGGATCACTGTCTATGAAATGTTTAATTCTTGGAGTTTATTCAGCTCTTTTCAAGCAAAGTAGTAAGCCAAACACACATAAAAGCCCCAACCTATAAAGAAATGGAGAAGAAATGGTCATTCTGGTGTTACAGTGATGCAGTGCTACACTCCCACATGTATGCAACCAAACTCTCCAGGAAGAAGCGGCATTCTAAAGGCCACTGAAGTTTCAGGGGTGAGCCTAGTAAAATCTGTGCCCCTGAGGCTGTTCAGGGGAATGCTAGAGGACAGGGAGAAACAGTTCTGGTTTTCCAGTGACCTTGCCATCCCTGTAGAAATCCTAACTGTGAAAATGAAAATTCTAAGTGAAAATGAAAAAAACAAAGCTTACTGTTCACTTTCAACAAAAGCAAACGATACTAACAAACTGCAGAGTCAGGTGAGGTGCGTGCTCACGATTCAGAGGGTAGATAAAACTTTTAGAAGATCAAATAATCAAGAACACACAGAAAGGCACTTGATGAGAAGCCAAACTGAGAAGGATGTGCTAAGCTGTTACTGGGCGAGAGGCATACATACCAGTGTACGAGGCAGCCCTCGCCCCTGAGTCGGCACTCGTGAATGAATTTAATGCTTTCTTTGAAATGTCTTGTCCTGGGGGAAGAAAAAAAGAGAGAAGTGACCTCTCTCTACTTTACTCAACATAAGATGGCAAGAAAAATCTGCCTGAGGTTTCTTGAAAAGGTCTCAGAATCCCACAGCTTCAAAACCCTCGTCATACTGTTTGGGGTCAGCGCTGCCTCAGTTTTAGAATCTGGGGCCTGGGGAGGGCTGCCGGTTTCTGGGATTTTCAGAGTTTCTCTGCAAGGAATCTCTGAACCACACAGCTGCCACTGACTGTTGGGAAACAGACAGCCTACCAGTCCCACGGTCTGTTTGGGCCCTTCAAGGCTCAGCAGCACACCAGCCACCCCACAGCCAGGAGCTGGACATTCACAGCCATTCGGATCAGGAAGGTGTCCACATCCTGCAGGCTCCCCAAAGTCCTAAAAGCTAGTTTACTCCCAACAATCTGAAAAACCTAATACTCTCCCTCAACCTACTAATAACTGGTTTTCCTTGACTTTAGTAAGGTCCTCCTGCACATCAGCAGAGAGCTGTGGGGCAGTGGAAACTGGAGCTGCAATCCCCGCTTGGCCACTTACTGAGTGCATGACCTTGGGAAAGTCACTTAGCTTTCCTTTATTCCCAGCTTAGAAGTGAAGTTTTGTCTTACAGGTGGGACAAAGTAATCCATGCCAGTATGCTTTACAAACTCTCAAGTCCTGTATGACGTAGAACCACGGTCCTTACTCTTTCTGACCTTTGGCTTTTTCCAGCCCTTTCTCCTACATGTGTGCACCAGCACCATTTGGGGCACATTATGGACTGGTTGGTGAGTTAAGTACAAATGCTCCGAGTGGACCTACAGACTACATGCTTCCTGATGTCTTCTACCTCTGAGTGGCTTGTAAAGCAGCAAAACACCTAAAGCTGCCCATGGACTAAATTCACCTCCCTTTAAACTGGCTGAGTACTAAACACATGCCAGAAACTCTGCTAAGCTGCAGGAAAGTCAGAGATGAAAAAGACACAGTTCCCAAGTATACAAACTAGGTAGGCCTCCCGTCTCAGGAAGGATGGCAGGGCAAACGAGCCTAATGAGAATGGGAAATTCAGATGCAGCATAACAAGCTCAGTCAGGTACTGATCACAGAAGAAATTCAGCCACCTAAGTGTGGGTGCCCAGCTGGATTAGGACAGGCAGGCAAAGGGGGAAAGTGTGAATGTGCATGCACATACATGTTCTGAAACCAACCCCATGGCATGACATTGCCACACATGGGAAGTGCAAGGGGTCCAACCCATGGACTCCACTCTTACCTGGACTCTCCAACTACCACAACATTGCAAGACATGCGCCTGCTAACTTTCCCAGAGACAAATGCTCCCAGACATAAACTTATCAAGTGACTCAGGGCATTGCAACTCTGCTCCTGAACACGGACTTGGTATAAGGCAGGCAAGAAAAGACGCCTGCCATAATCCTGAAATCTGAAGTGTTTGTACTAAGGAGACCTCAGAGCAGGGCTGTGAAGCAGCAGCCCAGGAAAGTCAGGCAGCAAAGCCGAGTGCATGGAGGGAGTTGACACAAGGCGATGAGGTAGCAGGGGCCCAGCCCCAGGCACGCCATTGCAGGCAGCAGCAAGGGTTCCATGCTAATAGAGCTCAGGCAAAACCAGCAAGCTAGGGTTTGCAATCAAGTCTTCTGATTTTGAATTCTCCAAACTTCAAAGTTCAAAGATGAGTGGCTGACATGTTCTGTTACACTGATTTTGTTTTGGGCAGCAAAGAGCACACAGTCCCTTGGAATATCCTACCTTCCCTCCAGTTCTACCAAAGAGAGGTGAGGGAAGGCTGTGTGATGAGGAATTCTGGGAAAGTTTTCTCTTCCTGATGCAAGGAAAGCCATCTCAGTCTTCCCAGGATTCCTACCTGACAGGGAGCTGGAGGCGCGCGCCATGCCTGGAGCTGCATCAGCAGCCCTGGACCCAGGAGACAGGCCTGCGGTGGATGGCTAGCAGGTGGAAGGGGGCCTCAGGAGGTGCTGTCCAAGCCTGGGGGCACTCATCTCCACGATTCTTGGTCAGAGGCATAAATAAATGTCTTTACAACTTAAAACACTGTCAGTCAGTACTCTGTTACTCACACAAAACACAGCCAGTTCATCTGGTCTCAGAATGGGTTCGGGCTGCCTGTCTGCCATCTCATGCGTGGTTTAGGCAGTATGGCCTGTCCTCCTCCATAGGGTAAGTCCTGCTTATAGCAGACAGGCCAGAGCAGGGGATGGTTTGCCTGCAGACCCTTGTTGGCTAGCAGTGGAGGGGGGTGGCCTTTGTCCGCAAGGTTGGCCACCCCAGGGCACCCGAGAGCTCTGGGAGGCCTGCTCTACACCTGTAACATGTTCTTGCTTGTCCTTCATGGGTCTCTTTCTGGCCAAGGAGAGCTGCAGCTGAGACAGGCATGTAGGGGAGAACACAGCAACCAGAGGAGAGAAATGAATGACAGCTGCCTGGGTAAGGGCATGAGCCACAGGCTGCCTCGAACAAGCTGCCAAGGCCATCCAGTGACACACAGGCTAACACTGCCCCTCTAGGAGGACAGGACCCAGGGTCTTGGACACCTGGCTTGTGCTGCGGAGCTCATCAAGATCTTGCAAAGTGACAGCTGAATCTCTTTACTGAAAGAGACCTGAGAGTGAGGACAACTTACGTCCGGCTTTCACACCTGCACGTCCTAACCACATGCACAGTGAATGCTGGGGCCTAAATATTGTGGGGTGTACCTGGGTTCAACAGTTAGCCTTACCATGTCTCAGGATAAGCAAATGGGGATGTGGTTAGGAAGGCAACGCCCAAGCCCACCAGAGCCCGCAGCAGGCGTGACGGAGCCCAGGAGCCAGGAAGTCTATGGAGGTGCCCCACTCCCTGAGGGCCCTCGCCTTACTCAGCTCTATCTGCATCACGCATTAGGTCCATACAGAGCCCCCACCAGCTCCTGTCCCAGCTGCGTGGGGACAAGGCCATAGAGACCCACTGCTAACTTGACTCATGCACAGCTGGGCACCAAGCCAGGCCAAGCAAACGTTCCTAGAAATGCCTTTTCCAAGTAAAGCCAAGAGGCAAGCATGTTCACCACTACTTTGGTGTGTTGCAGGGAGTGGGGGTTATTTCCAGGGAAGCTAATGACATAAGCCCAAGCCCTGGTCACCAAATTCCCTCCTCCACAGTGGGAAATACCCTTGCATTGGCCCTCATGTTGCTCAATTCTCCAAAGAGCAGCAAAGCCCATCCCACCGCAGGCTGCCTCGGCAGCACAGGTTCCCCATTACTGCTCTTCATCTTGTTTCTCTACATATGGCGCCTTTGCTGCCACGCACAGACATGTGGAGTGACCCCTGCCCCATGAAAGCTGGTGGTGGGGCTCATCCAGAAGGAAGCTCGACCTGCACATGTCACAGAAGCATCTGTGGCTGTCAGCAAAGCAAAAGACGCCCAGGTGGGACAGAAGGGTGCTTCAGATAAGAAGGGACCTCTGTGGGGGCTCGACCAGAACAGTGGTAGCTGCCTGGCCTTCCGTCCTTCTTTGTCCTCGCGGACCCTCCTCATGCACCAGCGTACCCAAGCCCTTCCCTCTCTCCGTCCAGAGGTCAAGGGCAAGGACCAGCCAGGTTTTCCCGGCCTTCAGAGATTCACAGAATGGTTGGTGGGTGGATCTAGTGAAACCATACAACATGATGCTCATTTTTTGATGCTGAACAACCTTACTCCAAGGTGGTAGAATTCGGAGGCTGTGCTCCCCCCTGTGGGATCTGAGGCGGTCCTGTCCTGCTGAGGACTCTGCTTGTCTGAGCAGGACCCAGGGGATCTGGCCGGGCACCCTGAGTGGCACCCGGGCTTACCCTGAAGCCAGCAGTACCAGACCAGGCTGTGACAGGAAGAGCACAAGATTTCTTCCCCTCAACATAGCATGAACGTGTATATGCATACATACATACATACATGTATGTGTGTGCATGTATGTACACATATGAAAGCAAAGGAGAATAAAACCAGGAAAGGCAAGCATCCTTAGGCTTTTTTCCCCCCAGAAAGGAAGGCTTAAAAAATAAGCTAATGGGTGGAGTGTTCCACGAGTCAGGCTCCCGAAGTCGGGCTCAGGTCACAGCTGCTTCTCGTGGGAGCAAAACTGGCCCAAGGCCCTCAATCTCTGCCTGGGCCCCTCCGGCTGGAACACTGACCACAGAGCCATTCCCCCCGGAAGCAGCAGGGAGGGAGGCTCTTCACCCCTCCACACTCTCAGTGTAGTGTACAGAAGTAAACACACAGAACTCACTCACATTTACATTAGCACATACACATTTACTTTTATATAAAATAAGTTTTCTGCACTGTCAACATTTTTTTAAAACTGGGGGGGGTGGGAATATGTATATATCATACTTTTCATTTTACCAGATAAGGTCGTTTTAAAAACAAGTTAAAAAAAATTTCTCTCTACCATCTTTTACATCATTTCACAAGTTAGGTCTGCAATAAAACAAAAAAGGAGGACACAGTCTAAGGCTAAAGAATAGTTCTTTTTTAAGTTGAATAAGTGAAGTAATACAAAAAATGCAATGTGTATTGCCCACATATTTCTCATTTCTACGGGCACAAAGTCCTCAGGAGCCCTGTGTGTGCATCTCTTTGGAAGCAGGACCACAGCAGTCCAAGGCCCACCTAGCTCTGATCTTGCAAAAGTGTTTATTAAAAATGAAAATAAAGAAAAATGTAAAAGAGAAAATAAGGTTATAGAAGTACCAAAGATACCAGCTGAAGGAAAGAAAACATACACAAGAAGACAGGGAGGTAGAATAAGGCAAAGAAATTTTATTAATATTTTAAATACGAGCTCTCTGTATTGTTAATGCCTGTTCTCTCTAAAAAAAACCTCAAGAAATTTAGAGACCTGCTTGATTCTCAAACCTTGGGATGTCACAAAGGCTTGTTGTAATGATGCAACATTACGAACTTCACAAACAGACCAGATTCTCCTGGACTTGATAGAAGGAGAGGATAAAAAAGGTAACTATTCCCTTAATGATGTCTAAATACAGAATATCTATTTAATAAATATTAAAGTAAGAATTAATTAAAGAAGCTACAATACATCCAACAATTCACTCTCAAAATACACGAATACTCCCTTACGCAAATAGACAGAAAAAACAGCATTTTTTGGGGAAATGACAGTGTTCATAAAAAACACTTTCATTTATCTCACCTAATATTATAAAAATTGTGTGAGATAGGCACTTTACAGAGAGAAGTAAGAAAGTACAGACATGCCTAAGAAAGCACAGAGAAAAAAGCAAAAGTAAATACTTCCAGAAGACTTAACTCCCTGACCCACACACCAGCCACTTGGAGAACATGTACCATTTGACACAAACTCTATGATGCCTCTGATTGTGACGAATCATGCAAAACACCCCAGCCTGGGTCTGTGGGGTTATTACACTCTGAGAACTTGAACTTTCACATTTCCTGCTTGCAAGGCAAGGTGGATGGGAGAAATGAGCTAAAATTTTAATGTGTTAACTCAAAATAGGTTTCTGCATTTTAAGTTCCTGGAAGATCAGAGGGGGAGTTTGTGAGGATTAAAGCCAAGACAGAAAAATTGACCTTTCTAGGCAGTTTGTTGCAACTGAATACCAAGCTTTTCAGTTGGTCTCAAAAGGTCACAAACCTCTTACTAAGCATAATTAGCAAGAATTATGTCTATTGGTATAGAGACTTGTGAGGAAAGATTTAGGATATAAAACTTTAAATTATACCCAAGGTTGGAAATAGTTTTTAAAATATGTAAGTTTAAAACAAGAAACAATACAGTTTTTAAATTGATTTTGTCACTAAATATAGGAACTCTCAGGCATCAGGAATTACAAGTGGCTAAGCTAAGGAAATAACAGTCCAAGTGCTTGGGTGACCCACAGCACATTTTCCAAGCGATGGATATGATTTCTCTTGCTTTTGTCAAGCACAGAGAGTATTTGTCTCCTGATCGTCTCCACTGGTTGGTGATTCAGCAAGTGCAGATTCATTATCAGCCTTCATAATGTTCCTAATGTTTGATGTGTATGTAATAAACACAGGCCACCCGGAGTGAAGTAGGTCATATAAATAGAGTCAAGTGTTCTGCTTGCCAACACTAATAGCCTGATTATATCAGGAAAGCATGCTCACCATGAAAAGACATGTTATGCTTTCTAATGAAACATCTGTAGCAGGTAAAGAGAAACTCAGTACAGGTCACTGTCCTGGATGTCATGACAGTGCCTGGTTCTCAGCAAGGTGGAAAAGTCCAGGAAGCTCAGGTGCAGGTGGCCATCTGCCCAGATGACAAATGCCCAGCATATGCTACATTCTGATTCTTCCAATGAGCCATGTTGCCAGTCAGGTACTGACAAGTTCAGCAGTATGTTAGAATATCAGTCTGAGATAAGAGCAAAGCAACCATTCTAAAAATAGCCACTCAAACACGGGCAGAAGATCACTGCTGTCTTCAGAGAAAGGCAGTGGCTCACTTCCTTCCGTGCATGCCATGCCCTTCCAACCACTTCTGTTTCTTGACACGACTAGTAACCAAGGAAGTTCTCTTATGCTTCTTATCCTTCTTCTAGACCTAGATTACTGTGTGCTTTCAGTGATCCTAGTAAAACCTTTCCTCCACTACCCTCAATCTTAAAGACGGGCTTTTCTGTGAAAGGTGGAGAGTTAGTGTGGAAACATAGGCCTTGGGGTGAACATATTGGCCCCACTTCCAGGCCACTCCTGCCCTGCACTGGTCTAACTCTATACCACCTGTCCCATGTTCTGTCCCCACCCATCCCACCCTTGCCATCAGTCCATCTGACTCCAGCAGCATTTTCTTTTTAAACAGGCAGATCTCATAAAGTTATTGCATAATGTGTGTTTTCTCTGCTCTCCAACAGTGAAAACTCAAGGTTGGCTGATGTTCAGTATTTGGTGGTTTTCAGAGAAGTGGGCATGTGGGTTACTTTGAAGATTTTATGGTTTGTGCTTCTAAAATGCAGGCTTCATAGGCAATATAGCTTGAGAGTCACAAAGGCTGAGTCCTGACAGGCTGGTGGACTCCCAAACTCACATGCATCCTATAGTGTGTGACTTCCCGGTGAAAGGCAGCAACACATCGTTCTAGGAGGGCCCCCCGTGCCTAACCTCTGGTACACAAGGTGGGATGAGTGGGGGAGTAGGGGTTGCTGTCCAGTGGGGACGCACTGGCAAAGTACTTGACTTGCGCCCCCAGCCTCTCAGTCTGCAAGGTTCAAATCTGTGCTTCAGAAAACTTTAATCTACTCCGTGCTATGGTGTTTCTGGGTCACTTCTGGGCACTGAGGAGTGTAAATGATCAGCCAGAACTGCTGTGGGTCACCGAGCCCTGCCAGTGAGCACCCCCATTTCTGCCACAGCCTAATCCTGCAGGTCTCCACACACTGCTGCGACCTGTAGAGGACAGCAGTTATGGATTTCTCTTTATAGGGACAAACAGAGTTTAAAACGGCATCAAAGCTGTATTCAGCTGTGAGGAAATAAGAGCACTGGACTTTCCTAAACTGGGAAGACCTATTCACAGAACTCAGACAGGCTTTAGAAGTGCACTGTCCCATTTGGTGGTCACAAGACATATGTAGCTGTGAGCGTTTGAAATGAAGCTGGTCTAAACTGAGATGTGATGTAAGCATAGAAAAGCACACCAGATTTGGAAGGCATAATATGAAAAAAAAAACAGTGTAAAATACCTCATTTTAAAAATACTAAGCACATGTTCAAATGACAGTATTGTATATATATATGGTGGGTTAAATTAAAAATACCATTAAAATCATTGTCACCTGTTTCTTTTTAATTTTTTTAATGTGGCCCTTAGAAAATTTTAAACTACATGTGTGGCTTACATTTGTGGTTCATCTTCTATTTCTATTAGCGCTGCTGTAGACAAGACCCAACAGCATCTTTAAGGGTTAGCTTCTAGAAAAAGAATGGACACACCAAAGGTTTGGTTTGAAGTATCCTTTTTGAAAATTCAACTCTTCCCATAGACATCTGACCAGTTGATGGTGCTTGGTGGAAGGGCCAGCAGACAAGCATGCCTCCAGCTACTGTTCTGCCTAACTCGGCAGCACAGACCTGCCCTGCAGGGCAGCAGCCGCGCCTAGCATCAAGGATCCAAGACATCACAGTCCTTTAACTATTTGACTTTTCAGTCCTTTATTCATTTTTAATTATCTCCAAGTAATATAGGAAAAAAAACAACTTACAGGTTTTGAGATGGTGAATCCGCTGCCGGAATGCACAGGTACTTAACACCCTGTAGAATGATAAAAAATAAAACAAAAAGATGATACTCAGTGGAGAAAAATATTTAAAGGAACTATTTATTCAGGTCAAAAAATAAAACATAAAAAAGGAGAAGTTTTCACTCATTTTTTGTTGCCAAGGAACTAGGGGAGAATGCTAAGGTTCCTGGTTATTTTCCGTGACCATGTGTATAAGTACGCAATGCTCTAGTTTCCAAAGAGCTTGTTGATTTAGACAGGGTGCATTAAAAAGGTGAAATAACTGAGTACTTTCCAATAAGTGTTAACAAGTTTTAAAACTACCATCTCAGATTCTTGTGAACACATTCCATATTGTTTAATTATTTCATTTAGGGTCCTGAATGGCTAAAAAGGAAACATTGTTAGTAGAAACCTTAACATGATGACTAAAAATTGTAATGTTGTGTTAGATACCTATGTCACCTTTTAGTATGAGAATTACAGTTTCACTGATGCATTAACAGGAGCTTTACAAATGGGAAACAATTTGATTTATTTAGCTTGATTTTCAGAAAAATAAAAGCTTGTTTACCAAATGAATGTATTTTAAAAAAATAATGGCCCGATTACAAAAACAATTAACTTCATGTAATTCTCTATAAAAATCTGCTAAAAATGTTTATAAGTTCATGCTATAAAAATCATGCTGTATTTGAGTTTTACTAAAAACCTAATTGTTTCTTTTTCAGGGAGATGTAAAGCATAGTTCAAAAGGTCTTCAATATCAAGTAAAAGTACAAAATCTAGACATCTCAGCAGCCTTTGCAAACGCAAATGGCTTCATGAAGACTTAGATGACCCATTTTTAAAATCTTCCTCTCTTGATAACCTAACCTCATAGAATCTTGCCACCATGATGTAACAAATGGGGGAAATACATCAGAAACTAGGAAAATGACAAACCTAACAGTAAATGAAGGAGAAATGTGTAGAAGCATAGCATAGATAACATAAGAACCCCAGGTGATAAAGTCCAAAAATAACTTGTCTTTTAGAATTAGTTGAAATATCATTAAAATTTTACTGTTAAGTCGAATCCTTAGGAACCTGTGCTATATTTCTTAACACAGTCTGTAAGAAACATCTAAATCTGTGGCTGCCGCAAACCCTTCCACACCTCTGCGCTTGAGACTTTCCCACATTGTGAATCCCACTTTTACCATAGAGAACTCACAGAAACTGCATTTCTCAACCTTCTTTGCTCTTAGGGTGGAGGCTCAGACCTTGCATATCTCGTTTACAAATCCTACCCAAGGCGGATTTGGAAACGGTACATGTAAGAGTCAGATGGGTACAGAGCACCTGCTTGGCAGGGGCAGGTGGCAGCAGTGGTCGGTGGTACCAGGGCAGATGTGGCAGCAGAGCTCACTGAGCTGGTTGTGTGATACGGTCTGGGAGCTGTTTGTTCCTGGAACCTGAGCTGAAAGACTCTTTCTCCAACTGCTCTCCAGGAGACCCTAACTTTTCAACTATCTAAACAAACCCTTTCCTGCTAAAACTGGCTCAGAGTAGAATCTGTTGTCTGCAACTAAGACCTGAATGATAGTTTCCCTTCCTGTCTCCCACTCTATGAGAGGTCAGAAAAAATATTTTTCTGCTTAATTCCTTGATGTATATATATTCTTTTCCAGCTTTGAGTTAACTATTCCATCTCCCAACAAAGGCTCCTTTGGGCCTTCCAGATGAGTTTAACTGCTGCTTATCCATAAGGGAACACTTCACAGGAGACCCAGTGGGTTTCACATCCAGGGTAAGAGCAGAGGATTGGCAGCTCGAAGACGCAAGCATAGCAGCCGACTCTCTCTCGTCTGGGGTCCTCTCCATCACCCTCCATTGCCTCCTCTGCCTCTGCCTTCATGTTTCTGGGACCCTGGCCACTGCACTCTGCCGGAAACACTGAGGCAGTTGTCTGGAGTTCTAATGCACCTCCAAAACCAGAGAGGAATTAATGTAGTGATTTAAGGGGAAAGAAAATAGAAAAGGAAATGGTACTGTAAAAAAAAAGGTCACTTCTCTCCTTCCCTCCACAGGCCAACCAGCCTATTCGTACAGACACACAAATGGATCAATTCATGTCTGCGATTGGAATGACTTATTTACTTTTTTTCTTTTACTCTTAAGTGAGAGTTGGCTATGGATCAGGTTCAGAAGCCTGTGAGATTCTTCCCTCCAACACTTTTCTCCCAACCTCTAGACCAATATTTCCAGAGGGATGGGAAGGCATCTCAGGCTTCCACCTTCCCATCCACCACAACTGTCAATCTGTGCAACCTCAGCCAGTCAGGGCTGCTGCAGGGGATCTCTTCTAAGAGGATGAGATGCCCACCTGCTACAAGGGCTGGGTGACAGCCTCAGAATTCTGGCAGAAACTCAAATCAGTGTAGCCCATATGTCAGGAGGAAAGGGAAAAAATGAAGTAAAGGAAGAGAATGGCCAGACGGGGAGGCTAAATAACTCTGAGCTCATTAAGAACATTCATGATAAATGCCAACAGTGGTGCAGGGGGAAAGCACTGTGCTTCCTTCAGGCAGTCTCCGAATGCGTCACATTTCCCCTTTGTAATACCTGATGCACAAAAGGAAAGGAGGCCAGCCCCCCAAGGCAGCAGCCAACTGCAGGATGGCGGCCAAGGACACCCTCCTGTGGTGCCCAGAGGGGCAACTTTCAGCCATGCTGGCCCCTGCCCCCCGCCAGCTGGGAGGGCACATGGCAGCTACAGCTTCCCATCTGTGAAGCTTCTAAGGAGGAACAAAGTACCTACCAGCCGCAAGTTTGGGATTCCCCTACTGTTAAGGCAGGACAGAGAAAATGTAACACGTAAGATCATATCAGGTCCTCTCAAAGACAGAATAACAACAGCCTTCCCTGGAGTGAGGTCTGGCACATAGCAGGCATTCCCTAAATGTCTGTTGACTGATGTGAACAAGGTGAAAACCAGTGAACATGGAGATCACACTGTAACAGGACAAGGGAAGAAAAATATCCTGAAGTCCCCATGCCTCCTCCCGGTGACCACGGAAGCAAGAGCTTCCAGCCATGCGGGTGAAGGGCAGGCTGCACACATGCCTCACAGGTCAGTCTCCTGCCCGTGAACCCAGTGGGGCTCAGGATAAGTGACTGGCTACAATAAGAAGGGAACAAACTATGCAAATACAGTTAAGAAAGGAGTCAAAACTGTCCAAAAGGTTCAGCTGCTCGCCACCCAAGAACATCTATTTATCTTGGCTTAGTCATTAACAAAGCATGAAAAGCATCTCTCTGCGAGGCCACAGACTGTAGAATAAAAGGTCCTGAAAGAAGGCTTTCGATGCCTGCACATGTGCACGATTCATGACAGTTAATTACTAATTCAGAAAGCAGCAAGAGTGCGGGCAGCGTGAGGGGCTCAGCGCTATACAGGAGAGCTTCACGGACTTAAATTTATCCCATATTAATGGACTTTGCCCCGCAAGTGTGTTAACATGATGAAGTTTTCATCCAATCAGACCTAACCAAAGGACCATTCTCTAGCGTTGAGGTTTGTAGAGGAAGAGGTAAGGGACAGATTTGTTTAGCTAAATTATGGGAAGTACAGCAAACTTAATGGGAAAAAAAAAATCTAATTCTAGAACAAAACTTTACAGCAATCCAAAAAATTGATAAGTAATAAAAATAGCAGCAATGTTTCCATTAGTATAGCATTTGCTATGTGGTATTTACTCCTTCATATTAAATAAAATACTTAAAAAAACACAAAACTGAAATTGGCTACCTTCTTCTTTGAAACAAAATTTTTACTAAATAGAAATTGAGTATTTTGCATGATGTTTCAAAACAGAGATTGGTAAAATGTCAATTAATATTAAATTTTTACAGAGTTAATACATGTCAAGTCACAAGTTTTCAGTTTAGAGAGTGAGCCCAAGGATGCACTGGGAACGGGGCTCAGTCTATGCTTTTAAGACTGTCATGATTTCTATGAGGGTCAGAGAAAAAGTGGCTAATTTCTTTTGATGACATGGCAGCCTCTGAATATTCATCAGAATCAACCACACTGAATACTCACCATACCAAGTAATACATCAAGTAGGATGACATAATTGTGGGGAATCAGAAGGTACAAAAAAGGAGTAAGGGTCAGGTGGGATCTGCCAACAAGAGCTTTTTGGATGAGGTTTTTATAAGTTTTGAAATACACAATAGACATCTTTTGCTGAGAAGAAAGTTTAGAAAGCATTCCAGAGGCTCTTCTTGACAAAAGGCTTTCGAAGTCCAAATCTTCAAAAGTTCTAATATTTTTCAGTTTTCTGTTTCAACAAGCATAGTAACCACCAAAAGTAAGGTTTTTGCCTTTCTTTGGGTCTGAAACTAAAGATTACACTTAAAACGATACAGAGCCAACATTCTGATTTCAGGACTAGTAAAGAGATCAAACTCTCGCTTGTTTCAAGTACAATTTCTAAAATTCACTGTTCTTTTCTTTCTGAAACGTCACAGGTAAGAGTGTTCTAAAGAACCTAGTTGACATTCCCCTTTTCAAAAGAAGGATCAAGCCCTTCAGGATCAAGACCTCTCCCAGGAACACTAACAAAAACCAGTTATAGAAAACTAATTCTATTTTTTCTAAGGACCTAGTCACAACCTCCTAAGAGGAAACACATAGAAAGAGAGTTCACTACCAGGCTGGCATCGGGAAACCCATGCAATACAGAAGCTACTTTAGCTGCTAATAAGATCAGCTTGATCAGAAACCTCATATTCTCATTTTTCCCCTCCAGTGCCAGTCGCAACAGGTGTACGCGGGACAGGGGCCTCCTAAAGAGATTTTTTTTTTTTACAATCAGGGTGGAGTGCTGAATTGAACTCTGCAGTTCCTATACATAGAACTCAACACTGATTGTCTAACACCCATTAAGGAGTTGAGCAAAATAAGTGGGGGACCCTAGTAAGACCTAATTTCACCATATTCCAAAAAAATTTTACTCCAGAAAGAAATGTAAAACTAAAATAA